ACAGACAGACAGAAAAAGTTTTTTCCGACCAGACGGAGTAATAGGCTTCGCTAATCGCTCAGCCAATCAAATTCAATTCCTCAAACACACTCAGAAATGACATCAGGCTTGGACACTATTTAACATCGGAAAACTTTGAGGTCTCCATCTTAAGAAGTATGAGACCATCTTTTTATGTAGTAGCACCCAAAACCAGTTAAAGTGGGTTGAAATTCAGAGCAAATAGTATTTTTAAATGTCCCCAAAGCATAAGATTATGTCATTTTAGGGTAAGCAGTGAAATTAGGGTAAATCACCCCAAAACACAACTATGTAGACTGAAATTGATATAAATAAGAATTTCTTTAGAATGTTCAAATGTGTGCACTGCTTTTAAGCTAAAAAACTTAAGTTGAAGCGTTCAATGTCAATTGAAATGAAAGTTAGGTTTTGGACGAGACAAGAATTGAAAAACTTTGTTATCTACTTCTCAGGAGGGACAGGCCAAAGGCAAAGTATTGCAGCATATCTAATAAGATGAGTAGAGGTGGAAATCAAAGCTAATAGTCCAAAAGTTTTGATAATGGTATAGTTGAATAGAGACAGAAGTTAGTGAATGTAACAGTTTATTATGTCAGAAAGATCAGTTTTCAAGGTGGATGGGTGGAAAACAAAATTCAAACAAAAGTAAAGCAAAAATAATAAATTGCCGTGGGGCAAAATTCTACATGGGCTCAAAATCATAGAGAATAACTTAAATAGTTTTAGTTCAGTCTTTTGAGTCTTAAAAAGTTTACAATTTTTTTTAACAAACAGCAGGGCAACCGGGGTACGTTCCTCCGTGGGTAACGTACTCCGGGGTAACGTACCCCGGTACCCCTGTGCCCTGATACCCCGACCCAAAAAATATTCGAAGTAGCTCATAATATTAATTTTATAGTTAAAATAGGTGTCGGGGTATCAGGGCACAGGGGTATCGGGGTACGTTACCCACCGAGGAACGTACCCTGGTTCCCCTGCAGGATTAAGATAAGGTATAAAGTTGCATAAAAGCTTAATCTTTTAAAGGCCGTCTTTCCACTCTCCCATTACTTTTTAGAACGTCTAGTAACAGCAATCGAATCAGCATAAAATTTTGAACCAAAATCTATGAAAGAACAACATGATATTTTTATTATTATTTTTTTTGTATAAGGCAAATTGTTAATTAATATGGTATGTTGCGCTAAAGTTGCTCTTCTGCCCTTTGTTAAGAATTCAAGGAGTAGTATACTTTCACGTCTCTTCCACAACTATCTCTTATCTACCAAAACCAATTGTGTCATATAGTATAACCTGCTTTCCTCCGTCTGTACGTTTATTTTTACAAAATTTGATTGTTTCCTTTAAAGTATTGTAAATTTGATCAATGTATAAACCTTGTAAAATCATAGGAAACTCATTCAAACTAAGAATGTTCCTGAACTTTTGAATGATATACAAAAATGCCAACCAAGACAAATCAATACTCCATCTTACTTTTTCACTGTTAATAAGAAAGTCAGAGAAAATCCGCAATCTTAAAGTCACATCAAGTAATCTGATATTCAAGCCAACAATATTGCACTCACTTAAAGCCATGGACTACTACTATATATGGTATTCTCAACTGTCACATATTGTTAGTGCTTTATTAAATATCTTATGTTTATCACAACCATGATCTGGAGAGAGTCGGACTGTAACCATAACGTCTGGTTAATTCAGAACTTCAGAGAGACGAAGGCTGTGTAAGTGCTTGATCTCGGCATTCTCACAACGTTGTGTATGGTTGAGACAAGGGGTACATGGTCAGCCTGACCCCATCCCTGTCTCCACAACTGTATAAATCTAACAATATGGACATTGTTGATTCAGCTATATTTCATGGTTGTCCCTGCTCGACCCTAAAACTTGGTTCTCACAACCATTGGACGGTTGTGATAACTTTTCGTTTTTCTGGGTGTAGACTTAGTATGGCAACAATAATTTTAAATTGCAGAGGTGCGTGTTCTGATAAAGCCCAAACTAATTTATTGCGAGGAAAGCCTCCTTTGGATTGTTCCAAACGCCTGTGCATTGAAAAGGAGGAGGCGCACCTAAGAACCGGTAAACAGTTTACGTGATTGTGTCTACAACGTACCTGCTAAGCACCAGCACTGGATTGCTGCCGTAGTCGGCCCGATCTCGCGTCGCATCCAACTGGCCGAGACCGAAGTCACGGTCGAGTCTGTTAAGAACAGAAAGGCCAACGTTCGTTATGCACGTTTTGGGTATGGTTGGAGAGAGAGACGATGGGGGCACGAGGGTCTCGCAGGATAGTGATTAACAAGCAGACCCGCCCTTCCACCAAACGGAGTTGCCAGCTCCGCTTCACTCCGCCGGCAACTCCGTTCGTCAGGGGCTGCTTGGCCTGCCGGCGGTGATGGTATTTCCGTCACTTGATTTGCTGAAGAACATAATCAAATTATGTAGCGGGCCTTAGAGCGACTGTACCTATTTCGGATCAGATTTTTGCATTCACGACCTATACCAAAGCACACAGGTTCTAGAACAATCGCGTAGGAAGGCACCTAAAGGTTAGATCTTCCTTTACAGAAATCAATTTTTTTGGCATCCGTAGCTGCACTCGCTTCGGAGTTATGGCAGTTTGAGTATGGACGTGATTTTGATCCGAAACAGGGACATATGAACCTATTTCGGATCAGCTTTGGATCAAGATGGCGATTTTGCCGTCTTGTATCCTGACAGAAGTCGGCTCTGGAAGTAATCAAGATTTTGGTCCACAGCCCACAGGGTCTTTGAATTATTGCCTGATCCGAAATAAGCATGTGCACCTAATTCGGATCAAATGAACTAATAATTAGGAACCGACCAGCAACACACTCGGCAGTAGTTTTTAAGTAGAAAAAGTGAAAAAGACGAATAAACGTCATATTCTTTATCAGTTGGAATGCCTTTTGCGGGAGATTTAGATTATGTCAGAGTATTTTTGACTAAATCGACATAAAATGCAGTGGAACTGGCAAATATGGTCCTGGACTGTCCTGGATTAGGCCATCTCACCGGAAAACAAATTTCGAGGTACGCACGTCTAGTGATAGATTAGACCTAGCAGAGACCCTGTGCAAAGTTTTATCCCTGTGCGATAACGTTTACCTGACCCGCATCGCGATTTTCCGAGCGGGCTCGAAATTGGCGCGCGGTGACCCGACACCTTGTCGGCTCTGCCGTGCTGATACGGTGGGGTCAAAGGTGACGGCTCGGGTCTGACGTATGACCCTATGGGTCCTACTTCACATCCGACATGGTGAATCCGAGCTCGCGACTGACCGGGCGTCTCCAGGGGCCCAAACGTCGCGGGCCGCGCGGGTCGCTCCTGGCAGCCGAAATTGGCAAAATCAAACATATTGAGTTTGCCAATATGGAGGCCGTACCGTGCCCTATCCAAAACTATGTAGCGTGCCAGGTAGCGGTGACGCGATCACTGGAAAAAGTTTAAAAAACGGGTATTTGCGCCTGTGGTGACGTCACTTAGACTGCCCGCATTACACGCCTGTAGCGCATGGTAGCCTAGTACGCAGGCGTTTTTGACATCACTTAATTTTTCCAGTGATCGCGTCACCGCTACCTGGCACGCGACATAGTTTTGGATAGGGCACGGTACGGCCTACGTATTGGCAAAAACATTATGTTTGATTTTGCTAATTTCGGCTGCCAGGAGCGACCCGCGTGGCCCGCGACGTTTGGGCCCCTAGAGACACCCGGTCAGTCGCGAGCTCTACAGGGTCTCTAACAGGGTCTCTACTATGTCTAATCTATCATTAAATGTGCGTACCTCCGAAATCGCCGACTTCGACTACCAAAATGAGATGACCTATCCTGGATGACCAAGTATGGATCATAAAGCAACATTTTAAAATATACTCTGACAGAACAAAGTAATAGTGAGCACCAAAAAGGTTTCGACCAGCATTAAATCGAAGCTGCTCGCAAAACTCGACTTAAGAAGTTGTGACTTTTAACTTGTTTTAACCTCTACCCGCGTTCTAACCTGACATGATATAAGATCGAATCCACATTTGAAACGTGTCTTCTGGGCCTTCAACTAAAGATTGATACCTGGGTTAACGCGAAATTATGCGTACATACCAAGTAAAGTCAATTTGATTACACCACAACATTCTCCCACCTCCTAAACAATGAATGTTCATGTTCAATTCGGCCGCGCGGGCCGCTTGGGCCGCACTAGGACGAAGTGATGATATTTTCTGGTAGAAAACGACAAACTTTTTCACAAAAAAAAATTAAAACCCATACATTTTAGCGAGGGAGCGTGTGTAGGTCTTATTGATCCGCATTAGGGGCTGATCCGAAATAGTTTCAGTCGCTATACTCGTCGTCTTCAAAGTTTGCCCCGTACACACGAGAAAGGGATGTAACGGTGCCGCACCCCGACTACAACCTACCCTTCTGCTTAGAAAATGTTTTT